CTTCTTTATTTTATTTCAAAAAACATGAAAAGGATTTTTGGTAAATAAAACAAGAAAAGGTTGTTACTATCATTATGAATTTTTTGGCCAATGCAATTATGAATACATGTTAAGTTCATGAAAAATAATATAAATAGAATAGACTTGTCCTTCATGTGCACATGGGTTGCAATAAGTGGTGGAGTCAGCCTTTCATTTCAAGCGGGACATGCCTAAATTTACGTGGATTTCCAATAAAATTGTAATAATCATTGTGATCCACTTGGACCACGAAGATAATGCATGTTTTTTTTTTCTTTTTTTTTGTAATTATCATTTACATTTTTTTCCTAAAGGAATTATAATTTGTAAGTTGAAAAGATAACTCTAAATCGTCTTTTCTTACCATTGGAGCTTTCTTGTATATATGTCATTGCACTGATCCTTATAAAGTAATCTAAAAAAACATATTTTGGCTCATATATTTGTGCAATTCTTTAAGCCTTTTATTTAAAATTCATTAGTTATTACAAAGAAGCTAAAGTGCCGCCAAATGTAGAAATATAATGATGTCAATATTAATCTAGTTTGCTTATTTATTTGCTTTCTTACTATTTGAGACCACATCTGGGTTTTGATTTTAATAATTGATCTATTTATAAAGAAATAAAAAAAATCTATAGTCTCCAAGTGCCACAATAATTTCACTGACGACATAATAATAATTGATAACATGTACTTCCATCTAAATTTCTTATATAGAAGGAAATGCATATACAACCCATTTAATTGAAATCATTTGTCCATTTTAATTTTAAAAGTTAAGTTTTTCAGACTACATTAGATCACATCATTTAAAAAATTTTAAATATTTTTAATTAAATTTTTGATACTTCAATATTTAATTTTATATTTTTGATACTTTAATTGTTAATTTTGTTGAACAATGTGTATTGTTTAGACAAATTCTAATTTAAATGATTTTTTTTTCTCCCAGACTATTATATACAAATATAAATATATATAGATACAGTACTATTAGAGTGTAGATATATGATGACAAAGTTACCATTATGGTCTCCTTTTATAGCATAACATTTTGGGGAAAAAAAACGTGTCCAATCTTAACCTTTTTTTAAAAAAAAAAAAATACACACATTTCTTATGCTAAGATAATGAGTATCAATTTTCCCTAAGTTTAGAACAAATTACATAGAGTCAAACGCAATAAAAGAGTTTTAGAAATTAATAATTTTACCGTCAAAGTAGATAAGGACAATTATGGTTTTTTTCTCTTATTTATTTTTAAGATGTTGGAGTGGAAAAAAATACTAACATTTTCCTTTAAAATTAATTTTTTAAAAGATCCTAAATTCTAAATTATTTCTATAAGAATTATATTTTTCAAATTCTAATAAAAAAAGTGTTCTTCCTTTTGCACTTTTTTTTTTTAATGATAACGAAGGCAACTAAATTGGCACTTCCTAAAATTCTCATTTCTCACGTCAATTATACACTAGATATTATAAATAAATAAAAAAAGTGAAGTTTATAAAAGATAAACAAAAAGATATTGGGGCCCACTGTAAAACTCAGGAGACATAATTGGGGACAGAAGCTCAATTCAAAAGTTTCCCTTTGAAAGCCGAAGCTTCAATAGACCTCTTTTAAAACCTTGATAGTATATTCTAATAGAAA